TCAATTGTTGCCGTGTTGGTAAGAGTCTTTAGAGCAAAGCTGGCGGTTGACTGTTGAAACCGTTGGGGATCTGTTTGGCTTCGGAGCTAGCCAAGGTGACGCACTTGGGCACCCTGCGACCCAGCCATGCCTCCAAGCCAGGGGAGTGGCGCAATGCAGCCTGCAGCCCAGTGATTGGCAGCTTGCAAAGGAGAACTGGATTATGCTCGAGAAAAGGACATGTGGAACATCCTTGGAGGCGTCCTTGCCACAGTGCTGGTAAACTGTGCAACAGTCTGTCTTCATTTGTAGATTTGCGAATGAACAAACAACAACAAATACACACATGCAACCGCCAGTGATGACCGTTCTTGCACGTTCATGCATGGGCAAGTGTGACCCCTAGAACTAGCCGGCATGGGAAAGTAGCAGAACTCCGACGACCGTTCCTTTTGCAGGGCTTCTAGGAGCGGCTCTCAGCCGATTCGTTAGGTCTTGACGGCAGCCGCTTTCATCACGTGCCTTTGGCGCAGCTTAGTATCAGCGCATTTCGGGACGATTCTGGTCGGAGAATGCATTTGTCTGCCTGTTTTATGGCAAGCTCACCTGGGAGAAAACAAATCTCACTTTTATGTAAATCATATACTTGCAGGACCCTTATTTCAGGTATTGGAATTAATGGGCGTACGGAAGATCTTGCGCTGCCATGCGATCTGCTCTAGGCAGACTCCTCGCTTTTTCATCCAGACAGTTGACGCGCTGCGGGCAGGCTACCGCGGGTGGAGACTTCCACGGGCGAGGAACGCTGCAGCTGTGATGCTGGGTTCCTGAATGTCCTGAACGTGCAGTTGCGTGCGGTTGTGGCTGACAGGACAGTGTATGATTGGGGTCCCAACAGCAAAGCTTGCCAGGAGCGGGTGTTCGAGCTGGATTGGTTTGAGAACCTGTTACTAAAATGCTGCTAGCAAGCATAGACCATGAGGTTTGTGGGTAATTAATGTTGTAGTCGAAACGCCGCTTAGATGAAAAGACTGACAGAAAAACTCATGTTTGCTTTCGGACATCGAATGTGCTCGGGACAATCTTTGTCTGGTTGCTTCTCCCCTGACTTTCTGCCTCTCCAAGCTTCCAAGACAATGTTGTACAATGTCTACAAATGCCAAGCAAAATGGCATCAGGCTGTGCGCAAACATTCAAGTCCCGTACATGAGCAACGAGATCTCTTGATGCCGTTGTTGATTGTAACTCAGATGGCTTTGATCCGTGGAACTCGGTTGCTTGACCCTTGCCCACTCCCAGCACATGAGGCCCATGCCTTCCTTGAGGCCGGGGGGCGATGGTTTTTCCAACATGGACTGCAAGCACCCATTTCTTCTGTGGATAGTGGTGGGTGGCCAAACTGAGTTTATGTGTCCTTGAAGCATTGGAAGCAAAGAAGGCCGATGCCAACCACGAGCAATAATCACTCGAGAAATGTTGCTTCCGTTTCTCTTTTGTCATCATTTGGTTTGCCCCAACTGCCGTACCTGGCCTCAAAACTGTAGAAGGCCTGCACTTTTTCAACACTTCCAGGTGATAGCATCCAGCTTGTGGAAGCCCGACAGATGCTGTCGACGGTTCAATGGCGGACAGCATCCGCCGCGCTTTCGCAACTGTAGGTTCCTGCCAGCTCGTTTTTGCCCACCTCGACTTGCTGATTCATGCATCTCTTGCCTTTATGCTCACCTGGAGAGTTCTCAACACAGTGCTGTAGCTTGAAAAGACACTCAGACCTGAATCTAGTCAAAGTCGCCTGTGCAGTGATGGGCAGGGCACTGAGACCAGCACCAACGAGGAGGCAAGCAAGGAGACGCGGGACGTGGGAGCCGCTTCAGATTGGACTATCTATCCTCAGGCAGACTGTGTGTTCGTTTGCCAGGGTGTTTTTTGCATGGGTGCTTTCTGTGCACAGACTTTGGAGGGAACTCGTGCAGCAACATGCATCATCAAGACCAAGTCTAGCGTTTCCTACGGTGTTGTTGCTTCTTAGTGTTTCCAGATAACAAGAATAACGACGACGACGACAACGGCAACTACAACAACCAACCCACCCACCTGCCCACCCACCCACGCACCCGCCCGTCTGCCCACCCACCCACCCGTCCACCCGCCCACCCGCCCACCCACTCGCCCACCCACCCAGCCACCCACCAGCAGCAGCAACAACAACAACAACAAGAACAACAAGCACAACGAGCACAACAAGAACAACAAGAACAACAAGAATAACAAGAACAACAATACTAACACCCACAAAACGTACGTGTCGCCCACAAGGTCTTATTTTGCTGCATGATTGTGTTGGCGGGTTTAGGGTTCTTAGGGTTTAGGTTTAGGGTTTTCAGGGTTTAGGTTATTTTTTAAGGGCTTAGGTTTAGGGTTGCTAGGGTTTAGGTTGAGGGCGTTTAGGGTTTAGGTTTAGAGTTTTCAGGGTTTTAGGGTTATTTTAGGGCTTAGGTTTAAGGTTTTTAGGGTTTAGGTTTATGTTTTTAGGGTTTAGGTTTAGGGTTTTGAGGGTTTTTAGTAGGGTTTCTAGGGTCTAGGTTTGCTTGGAGCTGCTCTGGTTTAGATTTAGGATTGTGTTGATGATAGCAGTATATAACCAGGAAAAGTCGCCGCGCTCCATGAAGGGGGTATGGAGCATGAAGTTGGGGTGGGGCTCGGGGGGCTCGGAAGTGCTTTTTTGCTGCGCCTGTCACGCTTTTTGGAGGTCTCGGGAACCCGCTTCCGCCCGGTCGCAGGCAACACATACGTTTTGGCCGTACTAATACCAGTACCAATACCAATACCAACACCAACCGCGGCGAGGGCGACAGCGACAGCAACGAATCGCCAGCGCCGCCGCCGCCACGCGCCGCCACCACAACCACCATGGAGCAAGAACATCATCAGCAACGACAAGAAAGGACAAGCTGCATCACGAGAGCAGCGATGACAAGGATGGCGACGCAGACCACAACCAGCAACAGCAACAGCCACCACTTGGGACCCACTTGACGACAGCACTGGCAAGTTCTGATTCACGTTGTAGAAATCTCTTCATTGACCTGAAAGGAATTGTTTCTTCAGGCTGAGAGGAATTGCAAAGCTGCATGTGCCATCTTTGGCTAGCCAGGCTTTACAGTAGGCAAGCTGTCTACGATGTGATGACTAGTGCTATCTGGATGTTTCCACGGGGGTCATGAAAAGTATGCAGAAGGGTTCCTTTAAATAAGTCGCGGTTGTGCGCAGAAGCTGCGGGACTAGTCGATGAAGGTCAGGCGAAGCAGCACTTTCGCAATTCAAGGCCCAATGTGATAGAGATATTTGAGTGATCAGCACGTTGTTATTTCATTTGACAGACCAACGCGGTGTGTAGTCGCGAGTTCGGAGCATGAATCTCAGCAGACGCGACATCTTGGATTCATGTTCGTCATGCCGCCGGAAGGAGCTGTCCAAAGAGCTCTCAAGGCACGAGATGAGTGCCGTCATGAGCTGAAGGCCAAAGGATCTGCAGAAGGTTCCCGCCAACTGTTTCCGACAGTCAGCTCTAGACATTTGAAGGACTGTGCACCCGCACTATGTCTCAGATTCGAAGCCATTGCATCAGATACAATACTGTATCATGCGCGGCTGTGAGTGTGCATGTGTGTGCGCGTTTGCGTGAGTTGTGACTCCCGCACACTCCGTTGAACTGACCATTTCTGGGAACCTTCTGCTTCGATGGCTGGCAAAGGCGCGGGAAATTGACTACACATCGAATGTTGAATGATCTCCAGACAATCATGACCCCTTCGTTGGCAACCATGTTTCTATTATATATATATATATATATACGACTGGATTCCAGCCAGGGTTCAAAGAATCCTCGCATTGTTTTAGCGGCCAATGCTCGGATGCTCTGCTTAAGACGGGCAGAAGGGCAAAGGGCTCATGCTCGAGACCGAGCTTTGTGCTCCGTAGGAAGCTGTGAACAACGCAGCACCGGCGCCCAGGTGAACCCTCCGCAAATCGCAGGGCGGATGTGTCAAAGTTGCACCACCGAGAAGCTCAACTGCACCACCCACTGGCACGGCTACGGACGGCTCCCGCGGAATTTCACTCTTCGTGAGTTTCTTGAAGTGATGCAGCTCCCTTTAAGACTGAGAAGCAAGAAGGAGAAGCTAGCTGATTTGGTTCCCCGGCCCTTTCAGGACTGTGACACATTTGAGAGTAAATGGTGGACACTGGCAAAGTCATGTATTGACGTGCTTTGGCGTGTTTCCCTTAGGGAGGCAATGAATCTAGAGCGGCCGCTACCTGCCTCATTCGATTTCTTTGCTCGCCTGGTGGTGTTTCCCTTCGGGTTCCAAAGGCCATCGATCCCCGGGAAAGTGCCGTGCGGCCGGGGCTTTCCAGTGGATGGCCCAGCAATATTTTTGTTGTGAAGCTTGTGAAGCTGTTTGTGAGGAGTTGCTTTGCAGCTTGCTTGGCCCAATTAGCACAGCCAGCCCAACAGGACGCGGTTCGAATACTGAGTCCGTTGCCATTCGGCGGATACCGGCAGATGCATGTTTAAGATCATGAGGGCTCTGGCTATTAGCGTGACGTCGGAGCACCGCTTAATGAGATGACACTCGCACATCCCATGGCCGGCTGAGGGGAAGGCAGCAGAAGTGGGCAAAGAAAGTGCTAAGCTTCTGTGTTATGCTGGGCAGCGTCTAATGCCAGTACGATCATGACTGTCGAGAAGTGGCAAGTGTTGCATTTGATTCAAGCTACCCAGACGAAATGCGTGTTGCAATTGTGTTCTTTGCCCCTTCTTCCATGTTGCATGAGCATTGATATGCCTCAAGGTTTGTATGGTGGCTCGCGTGATAATTTGAGACTCGCAAATCCAACCTCAAAGGAGTCGCGCCACAGACCACAAATTGCCAGTTTACCGCGGGATTGTGAGATATGTTGTGGCTGGGAACCTTTGATGCTAAGCTGATCGAGAGGAAACGGCATGCGTCTGTTTGCAGGTGGCCGTCATGGTCGAGGTGGTGCAGGCAGGATGAGTGCCGCACAGAATTTGTTCCAACATTTGTAAAGAGCTGGCCTTCCTCAACTTTGGGGGTCCTCTGGCAGGTTGGACCATGTTAGAATGGGCTAACGCCCGGATGCCGTCAACCCTTTTTGTTGCCTCTGTTGGCGGCCCGCGGCGACGGCAAAGCCGAAACAGGACGCCAAGCAGCAGTTTCGAAGCCCACTAAAGACACGCCGGCAGCTGGCGTGGCGGATCGCGGCGGGCTCTGGGCGACAGGTGCGGGCGCGGCGGGCCGAAGCGCGGCAAGGGGGGCGGGGGGCAGCGGCCGGCGCTTCCAAGGGGGGCCGAACGGGGAACGCATGGAAGACAACTTCTGGGGCGGCACTGGCAATCTGCCGTGTCGCCTGGAGGCCGTTTGCGCGACGTAAGGGGCGGGGGTCAAGGCCTCGCCCCCTGTTGTGGTTGGGCGTTGGGGGCGGGCGCGTTCGGGTGGTCGTCCGGCGGGTCCGGCGGCTGTTGGTTGTGTTGTTTTGCAGTGCAGATTGGCTTGGTGGTGCGGTTGCGTTAATTTATTCGCACCCGCTGCTGTCCGGAATTGGTTTCGTCTTGCATTGCATGGCATTGTGCTGTTCATATCGGTTCAGGTGGCAATGTAGCTGGTAGGTGGGTGTGTGTGTGTGTGTGGGGATGTGTGGGGATGTGTGGGGATGTGTGGGATTATGGATTGCTGTTGTGGAACAGGCCAGACAGCGGCTTGGACAAGGGTTGAAGCCAGAGGGGCCATCTCCCGTAAGAGAAGAAATCAGAATTATCCACACCCTTCTTCAGGTCAAGAAAAGCATGTTTGGCATTTGCTGATTGCTATCCGACATTCCATGGTTTTGACGGCAACGTCCAAAGCGCTATCGTCACTGCACCTTCTAGACTCAATGTGGGCGTCCTTGTTTCTCGGGTTGGCTTGTGGGGACACCAATTTTGGGCGTGGACGCTCGCATGTGGTGCGACCAGGATTTGTTGGACTATGTGACCTATGCTGGTGGTGTCGGGCGCAGACGTGCTGATGCCGTCAGCGGCCTGGGCGCATCCCTGCGTGATTGGGGCGACGGTCGACGATCGAAGCCAATGTTGGGGGCACCGGAGTTGGATGCAAAGAGGCCGTTGGATTGCATAATCCATTGTTTCATATTGTTTCCATCGAAATTTGCAGAAATCAGAAAGGGCACGGAGTTGCCTCAGCAGCCTTTGAATGTGCGGCGCTCGGATGTCCTTGCCATTCTTTCCCTGGTACAACCTTGTCCGCGTGTGGCTGCCGCAACATTCAAATGATGTCTCAGACAGAAAAACAGGAACAGTACATCTTACAGTTGCATTCTGTCAAGCGGTAGAGCCTGGCCACAGCCTGTGAGCCTCAAGATTCCAGTGACAAGTATCCGCCGTTTTGGCTCGCAGCAATCATGCAACATGAGCCAATTGAAGACTGCACTGGGTGATGTGTTGTTTCGTGTTGGCAAACGGTTATGTGTTTGTTGTTCTGGGGAAGCACTGAGTTGTTAGCTGGGCTAGGAGCGGTGAGCAGTGGATCCACCGGCGCTAAACGCCCTGGCCATGGAAGCGATGCTCAGGTGACGGACCATAAGGCAGGCGGCAGGAGGGTTTCAGAGGAAGCTGTCACAGCGGCATGGAACAACGCTTATGGGCTTATGAAAATTGTTGACGTTTTTTCTGTTCAGACAAGGTGTTTCCCGAAAATGCAGTGGATTGCTTGCTGGTTCCGCATGTTCCTCCTTAAAGCCATCCAAACATGTGGTCCGCCATTTTTGAGACCCCCCTGTTTATATCCTTTTTTTATCATAATTTGTAGTCAAAAAAATAAAATTGCCAGGGAAGCCTTGTCTTTCAGATCTTAGGCTGTTGCCATCAAGTCCGGCATGGAGTCGGTGCAGCTTGAGACTGTCTACCTGCAGGAGCTTTCATTGTCTTGTTACTTTGGGTGGTAGAAAAGCAGCTGCTCTTGAAATGTTCAAAATGTTGGTAAGATGCAGCAAGTGCGGTTGTTGGCCTCCAAGCAAACGACGTGGTGATTTCTTGCTGACATTGTCGTTGCACAGGCCAGCCGGGTTTTTTTAACGAACTGGTGCGGCCTGCCCGCAGGAAATAGCTCAGCTACGCCTCGAACCTTAGCAAAGAGCGCGGGAAGCTGGGTAACATAGAGTACAGGGTTTTGCTGATGCTGCAAGGACGTCAAGGATTGCAGGTTTGCTGTTCTGGGATGTAGTGGGCTTGTGGCCAAATGGCACTCATTTGACATCTATGTCGAAGGTTGCGATGAGTGCCTTCGGGCGATTCCAATGCCGCGCGCAGCACTGCATATAACATCACACGGAGAAGCTTTTACTTTGCTTGCAATGCCGATTGTTGTTGCATGAGGTTGATGCCATGCAGTTGTAAGATGGATAAGGGCCTAACAAAGGCATCTCTATGCATCCAACAAAGAGTCCTTGTTCGACATAGCAAGCGGCAGTCGTGAGACTGTTCTGTTTTGAAGCGTAGCTTGCTTGACAAGGCAGTTGTTTGCTTCTTCAAGCTTGATATGCTTGTTTGTTCCTCGCGGAGCATTCCTTCTTGGCGATGACTCAGGCTCTCAGCTGGAGCAAATGCAGAAGACCGAGCAGGCACACTTGCGTGAATGGTATGGAGCCAGTTAGAAAGGCCAAGTTTGGCCATCAGCTTTGCAATCATGGTAATTATTTTAGTCCTTCTCCAATCCATGTTTGCTCCCCACACTAGAACATGTAACATGTGTTTTGCAATGCGATAATGGGTTTGGAAACACGGGCCCCCTGTGAGCGCTTGGCAGTGGCAGAGTTTCAGCACTCAGTTGTATTTGTTTTGTGCTTCCGATTTTGCCGCTGTTAGGGCGCTGCAAGATGGAAGTGGGCTTCTGCCCGGCGGCTCAGATGATCAGATTCACCAGGTCGTCGCCTGCCTGGCTTCCAAAATGGGGACAAACCTTATTGATTGGTGATACATATGCAAAGTGAAATGTTGCCGGGTTTGGCTTCACAAGCAAGAGAGACCAAGAAAGAGAGAGAGAGAGATAGAGAGAGAAAGCGAGGCCAAGACGCGTTACCATGCCAGTACCTTGCATAGGCAAACATTGAAGAATGTTTGTTCTTTGTACTCACAGAGGCCTTAGTTCAACATCAACGAGAACGGGAGCAGCGAGGTTAGGCTTTGAGGTACGGGCTTGGTTCTTTTGCGGGCAGTTGTGGAACTGCGAGAAGTCTCCACCTCGAGCCCCCAGCCAGCCATTTGTCGCAGCCGATATGCCGCCTAGGCTGGCTTTCTGGGCGGATTCTTCCTTTGCTGGTTCGGGTCTCATTCTTCGTGGGGTGTGAAGATGGGACAATGCAAATGGCCATGAGTGTGATAATACTTGTAGAGATTGCGGCGTATGCGATTGACAGCAGGAATGGCCAGTCCTGTTTGATTGACACATGCACTGGCGTGCTGCCAAGAACGGATAGCAATTCGGGAGTCCAGCTGGCACGCAATGATTCCTCGCTGGCAGGTTGCTGGTGTCAACATTTACACAATGCCCGGCTGCTTGAGAATTGCCCAGCATGCGTTGGAAAAAACCGCCGTGTCGCTGCCTGCCATGATTGCTTGCTCCTCATCATCATTTGGCAAGTGTTTGCCACACGTCCTGCGAGTCGAGTGGGTTGCCGATCACCCATTTGCAGCACAGCGTGCAGAGAGCCATAGGCCATAGAAGCAAAATCCGGGGTCCCTAAATTTCCATTCTGGTGGTTTGAGTTTCCTTGGGCGGGGTGGTGTTTTAAAGGTGAAATATCGGGAGCCATGGAAAGTCCAAAGAAGCTGTGACAGGGGACATTTGGCCTGGTCCACTGCCAGGTGCTGGTACAGGAAAGCCTGGGCCGCATGACTGCGTGCGGAGCCCTGGCAATCCTTCAGCCCCTATCTTACGTATCTTACATACATCTTAAACCAGCTTGTGGCCCACTCTGCTAGCTCGTTTCCAGACACGCAAATACGGAGCGCACACGGACAAGTTGGACCTGTCCAGCCACAAGCCGTTCTTTGACCCCAGAGAACGTCAAAAGGACTTGGCAAGCTCTCTTCAAAGAGCTGGAGTGACTGGCATGTCGTTGCTGGAAACCAGAATCTGAGGTGGCATGTGGACGTTGATTGCAGCAGACAGTTGCAGGCAATTGAAATATGGGTATTTCCCAAATGAGTGGTTCGTCGTTGTTGTCCGTGGAACCAACCCAAAAAATACCCGCAAAAAGAGTGACCCATATCGTCGTCGATCCCTTGATCCGTTCCGATCGCGTTGAAAATTGACATGTGCCTAGGCCTTTGTGGCCGAGGACAGTTAAGCATTCTTTTGGGGTGTGCTGGGGATGGGGTCGTGGGGTCAAATTTTGTGGGCCAGTTGAGGAAGTTGAATAGGTACAGACTGTATAACCTTGCTGCAAGATCTGCAAGATCTGCAAGCAAGCCTCTATCGTGTTTAGCTCTAACCTCGGAGGCGCGCGCCATGTCTCAAATAACTTCAATTGAAGTTGATACGGTATACGAACTTCATCCGTCAGAATGGCAGGTCAGGAACTTCGCTTGATCCAGACTAGCTGCAAGCAAGATTCTGGGGTCAACACGGCCAGCTGCTTGAGTCAAAGGCTTTGCAAGAAGCTACGTAACAGCCTTCTTTGTTTTCTCACTGGAAATCAATCAGCTGGCATTAGCTGTGTGCATGTGTCTCGACTTTCACACGGTAGAGGGTCGAAGAGCTGTATCGCAGGCTTGACCCGTCTTGCTCAGCGCTGCTTTTTGTATCTGAGTACTAAAGACTTACGAGTGACGTGTCATCCAAAAAGTAGCTAGTGGCATGCTTGCGCAGGTAATACTTGTACAAGTCATTGTGTGAAGCTCGAGTGTGGCAGTTGGTTCGTTGGTTGATGTCATAGCTTGACAATAAAGTCATAGTATGCAAATGTGTATATATATATATACACACACATGTATGTACACATGTGAAATGAGACGCTCATGTCCCAGCAAAGGCAAAGGCAAAGGCAAAGGCAAAGGCAAACACACACTCACACACACACACTGCAGGATGGTCATAACTAAGTCAGTGGTCCGCTCTTGGTGTATATTGATATTTAACAAAGCACTCGGCATGGCTGACAAGGGAATGGGGTCACTGATTGCTTAAACGATCTTGCACGCGCGCAGCAACGTGTGAGGATGCCACAGGAGGCCCCCGCATGGTGCCGCTGCGGGACTGGGGTGATGGGTCGCGTGGGGCAGGATGTCCTGTGGCTCGCATGTTTGCGGCTCCTCAAGGCAAAGCTTCGGCTTCTGGGTCCTTTGGGAAGCTTAAGCAAGCATGTCTACCGTTTTGGGTCTTCCACAAACTGTAAAGACGCATGAGCAGGAATCTGGGCAGCAGAACCTGCGGTCACTCGCTGGAAGGCCAAATTGTACTTATTGGTTCAGGCAAAGCATGAACTCGAATCCACCTTTGGCAGCCCAGTATGGTGAAAACAGGGGTGTGTTGCGTGCCTCAAGCGCTCATGTGCAGGACCTTGTTTTCGATGAGGTGCTGGACAAAGCCTTCGATGACAAGGCCCAGTGTCATTGAAACGCAAGAGCGGCAGACCCCTCCAAGGCATATTTGTGGTTTTTGGTGTACTCATGTTGCCTTGGATGGAAAGCCAACAGGAAAGCCCCCGGACGCTTACTTCGATTGCCCGCGCCCCGCGAGACAAGTCCATGTCTGTTCATTTCAGCGTTGCGCGAGGAATGCCTTAGCGGCGGGCAAGAGTTAACGAACCGCAAGCCTCGAGCTCGTTGCGTATGCAACAAGTCGGAGGCACTGGATTTCCAATGCAAACCACCCTGCCAAAGCGAAAGCAACAAATCTAGAGAACCTGGATTTGATTGAAGTGTTGGAGTCACTCGGCGAAGAAGCTCCGGGGAAGGGCCTGCGTGAGTTTGAGAAGAAGACCACATGCTTATAGGCGGCGCTTGAAATATGACAAATCGATGGTGGTGAGGAGCCGTTTGACCATTGGCATGATGCTCCTTTGCGCCAGGTATAGAAGACCTTTCCACACATGTTATTGTAGGCTTCTCTGCAAAAGCTGAAGGTCAGTTTCTAGAGCTGCCATTGGGTCTTCTTGAATGCGGCAGCATCATGGAAGATCAAGGCCAGCGGGTTGCGAAAAGAACGACCCAGGTTTAGTGTCCATCCCAAGGGGGTCTCAAGCCTTTTGAGCATTTGGGGACGTGCCAAAGCTAATGCATTGTGGACGGGTTCAACTTGGAACCAGGACACCTCAGCAAACCATTTGGCATTTGCCGTATTTGCCTGACAAATTAAGCATGCTGTGCTCTTTTTTTGCTCGCACCACCCCGCAGCCCTCGCAGAACCTCGTGGAACCCTGGTGGAACCCTCGTGGAACCCTCGTGGGACCCTGGTGGAACCCTCGTGGAACCTTACCTCAGGGCCGCCCCGGACACCCCCGGAGCCTATCTGGGCTGAGACCCCAAAAGCTTCCAGCTGTTGGGGAAGAACATGAGCCCATTTCCGCTAAAACCGCCGCACCCCAGGCGGTTTCTTGGGCTCCGCATCAATTTCCTGAATATGTGCTTACCCTCGATAGGAGTATGGCCTCCAGCTCCTTGAAGTCTCCGACCGGGGGGAGCGCCTTGTGAACGAGCTGGCGGGGCGCTCAACTTTGCACCGAGGCAACAGGGATAGGCAAAAGGCCACGCCTAGTGATTGGAGTTCTTGGCAACATTGTAAGAGAGGGCTGTGGAAATGGATGCGGATTTCCTATGTTGATGTTTTAGAGTTGGTCATAATATAGATAAACATAGATAAGGATAGAGAAACAAAATCAAATACCATGTAAGAGTAATGAGGGGTAAGGCAACCTTGAAGAGCCCTGCCTGCTTGTAGGACGTCGATGATTTGCGTGGTCTACTGCCACCACTATTGTTCACTGTGTTCAGGCTTGAAGGGAATCCAAAAGGAAAGCCGCCATTTTGGAGGGTCCCAGTATGACACACCCGGCTGGTTTGCACAATCCCACGCATCTCCCTCCCAGCAACTTTCATTTGGCAGGCCAGAAAGTTCAATCAGGCTGGGTCAACGCGTACAGAGGCACATGACAGCCTGGCTGACCTTCCGCTAGACAGTGTCCATGGGATAAGAATTATTTGTGCGAAGGATGCAGATCTTTAGCGCTGATCCTGGAAACCTTTTGCGCTGGAGGAATGGTCTGTGGCAGACATTGGTTGGAAGGAGGGGCAACTCAAAACTATTGTTTGTGGTTTGCCCAGCTGCAGAGGGCGTACTTGTCATTGTGACCAGCAGTTCAAGGTTTGAGGCTTCTCGGGCCGATGCGCCCTTGTTGGCCTCATTGAAGGATGGGAGGAGAATCCGGCTCCCCAAACAATGTCAACATGTGCACAAACCTGCCACTGACTGGCAGCCAAGCAACTGAGGCCACAGTAAATGTGGGATTCATATCTGCTTCCAGACATGTTGGGGCAATGATATCCTTATTATTAGCCCACTTGAATTGGCACCTTAGCTGTGCTATTCTTTGAAGAGAAGAAAATAACGAAAACTCAGAGGCGAGTTGGATCAAGAGCGCTCCTGTGCTAAATGACAGCCGAAGGCCGTTTGAACGAGCAGATTGTACAGCCCAAGTCGAGCAGAAACATGATGCCAGTAAGCTTGCCGCAAGAGCAGCCTTACGAAGTAAGCAGCACAGGTTAGGTTCGGCCTTAAGGCTATGTAATCAATATATATATATATATATAGTACGGCCAATTCCCATTGTTCGCCCGGCCGCCCACCGACGACCGCCCAGATGCCCCCGCCCCTGCGCGCCGCCGGCCCTGTTTTCTCAGGATCATTGCTCCGGATCAACATGTTTATACAACTTTGTCAGGGCCGAGGGCTTCAAGACGTCAGCAGGACGCAGACCCACAAGCCTCCCTATAGTCAGCCATAGCGCGGAGGACGCGCTGTGTTCCGCACTGCCGTAGCAGGGAAGCAGCACTCATTGCCTGGGGGGTCCAAGGTTAAACCCTAAACCAAGAAACCCTAAAAGAAACCCTAAACCTAAAAACCCTAAACTGTGCCTGGGGGGGTCCAAGGTTAAACCCTAAACCAAGAAACCCTGAAAGAAACCCTAAACCTAAAAACCCCTGCGCAGCCGAGCCTGGCTGTTGCTCTTGGGCTAGCGATGGGCGTTGAAGGATATAGTATTATGTGCTTGCCTTTTTTTAAGATGCCCGCGCCCCTTGGCAACTTTGCTGAACTAACTCATGTCAATCCAGGCCCTGGACGACTCAGTCGACAGATCAATCTATTGCAACAAGTTGGAAGCCATCACAAGTTGGAAGCTACACAAACGGCAGTCACGGAGGCCTTGTTGAGACAGAATTTGCTTGAGTAATTGCCGGTGCAGACGCCAGGTAAATCGCCTGGTGGAGCATGATCCTTTGTGGAGAAGCAGGTGGCCTTGTCAGAAATGACAGGGTGGTGAATAGGAGGAATCGCCGACTCATGTTGCGACCGCTCTGTTTGCAGCTTCCGTGCTTGCTTTGATATGGCAGCCTTCAAGGCACAGGACGCCGCAAGCGTGTAGACCTGATGGAAGCACAAATGTACGTTTGTGACCGGACAATGTGCGATGTCACTACATCGTTGTGGCTGGTAGCCCTCATGTTGTCAGGTGGGTGGGAGTATATGTGTGCGACCTGTTGTTTGACAGCTGTCACCTGACCATGGCACATATCATTGCTAGATTGTTGGTCACATCATCCCACTTTGTTGAGCGCTACCTGGAACTCAAGGGAACCCAAAGCACGTGTTTGCCTGGAATCATACGAGCGACTGACCAGTTATCCGACAATTGAATATGTATTGGCGCGATCAACCCGAAAAAGTTGTGATTTCGCTGTGCAAATGGTCCCAAAAGATTAACGAGAACGAGATAGTGTTGTAGAACACCATGCAAAACGAGCTCACTGTGATGACGCACAGGCTTCTTGTGCATGCAGCCGGTTTCGGGGCGCGCAAAAAGCAACAAACAAAGCAAGTCCAGAACAAGTTTAAAACGAGTCCGCAAGTTGCAATTTCTGACCTGGAGCTGCCAAATCGCACTTCGCGTACTACACATGTATTGTGCTTTTTGAGCTGGAGCTGCCAAAGTGTGCTTGGCCAAGCGAGATGGTCCGGCATGATTCACTTCATTTTTGTTGTTTAATGTTGGCTTTGCAAACGACAAGATAATGAGTTCGCTTCTCATATGCTGTCTACCTTGTCTTCAGACACTGCTGAATCAGTTGTTACAGCCCAGCCATCCACAAGAGAAGCAAATCTCCAGGCATGCCCAGGGTCAGAAACCGGGCCCTTGGTAGACTGGAGACGGGTGCCGTAAAGGAGGGTACCTTGTAGTAACTGGCCTATCTTTCAGTGTGCGATGGCACTTCAATCAGAATTGTCTCAAGGCTGCTCTCAGTCAGGGTCAGGCTTTGCGATGCAAGGCAGCTTCCCAGCCTTTTGCAGAAAGTGTGCGAAGGGCTGCGGCGCGCCGCGGGCTGAGCCTGATGCAGGATGACGGGAGCATTTGTTGCCTATCTCAAGTGAAAGAAGCGTGTTGAAGGGATAAAACAAATTGATACAACATGCTCCCTTGTGGCAATGATCAACATGCAAGGGGCACTACTGCAAGAAAGAAGCAGACGCGATCAATTATCATGTTTCACAAATCACCATTGTGTAGGGATTGCAATTAACGCTCTGATAGGGCTTTCCAGTAATAGGATTCCCAGGAAAAAAAGCCATGACCGCCCGCCGTATCGAGAGCTTTGAACTCAGGGCGTTGAGCACCCCCTCCTCCAAGCCCATGCGTCAGAATCCTAGTTAAAGAGCTGAGACAAGGTGCAGCTGCTGATGTCAAAGGAGTTGCAAGAGGCCCTGCTTCATGGGTGCATGCGGCGACAAGAGGCATGTAAGTGTGTGTGTGTGTGTGTGTGTTGGCATTGCAAGTGGTCATGCAGCCCTGGAATTATTTTATGTAGGTCATAGGTAAATCGTTGAAGTCTTGCGAGAGACTGTTGATTCGGAGGAACATGTGTCCGAGAGTGCATGCCCAGTGAATATTGTAATTGGGGCCGCGTCATGTTGTTCTCATGTCTAAGACCCCCGTCGAAGGATTTGTTGTTGCTTCTTTGGGTTGCGCAACAATTTGCCCGCAGGTTTGGAAGATCACGCGGCTGACCAAGTGATTCCTGCCAGCATTTCCGCGTAACAAGGAGGGCAATGGATTCTAAGCAGCGTTTGTGAGCACCTGCCATTTTCTCGTAACGGGTTGGTTATTAAGATGTCGGCGACTTTGCGATGTTTCGGGTTGAAACGATCTATTTTTTTTGGAGACTCCCTGGCAAGCGATATGAGCTCTTGGTTTCTGGGGATATGCCATCTCAACATGACAATTATAAGGCTGCTACACAAGCCTAAGAAGTTCAACCAGCAATTCACCAATATTGTGTGGGCTGACTGTCATTCATCGCCCAACAAGCTCCGGAGATCAAACGAGGTGAGGATGGGATCCTGCTGCGCTTCGTCAAGGTGAATGTTTGAGAGGTCTGGGATTTGCCACGTTGATTAATGGCTTGAGGAATGCCCATGCTCCAAAGACGGACGTGAACGTACTGCTTGTTCCAGCGTTTGTGTATGGGCAACATGTGTTAGGAGATGGGTTGAGAGGGTAAGCAGGTGGATTCAACCGAGAATCAAATCATTCATCCAAACAGGCAGCTGACTCAGCATCCAACTGGATGCGCTCAAAGGTTTCCACCGATCTTCTACCCAGAGGACGATGCGGAGCTTTCAGACGCAGCGCCCCAAGCGGGAGGCGACATTGCCGTGGCGATTGCCAGACACTGTGCAAACGTGAATCACAACGCGCTAGCAAACCGAACATTGTGTACATTTGACAGAAGACGTCAAGAACATGTGAATGATTGTTCCAGCTGAGTTGCTTTGAAGGACTGACTTTGAGAATGGCTCACGGGTGCAAGTGTCAGCTTGGGTCGTGGCGTTTCGGAAGTGAAGACGAAGATGAAAGTGAGAGCCAAAGTCCTGCTTCGGAGAGCCCAAGTCCTGATTCTATACCCGCCGAAGCCTTGCGCCCCTGAGGCACTGCCAGGCGGTTGGTGGAAGCCTCAGAGCCAGAGAGAGTTGCGTTTTGTTGTCCGATGCATAAAGATAGCCCGGTATTGGTCGCTATTATCTTGTCAATGCATTGTCACTTGCTTGCTGGCTTGGAGAATCTTGCCCTTCAAATGCAATCGGAGAGAATCACCTACCCAAGGAGCCTCGCGTCCACAGGAAGCAAAGCTGCTTTGAACCAGACAGTATCTCTGTGTCGACCGCCTCAAAGCCAGGCTCGACTTGGAGGATCTCTTCCTCGCGGTACACCTTCTGCTAAGGCCGAGAAGAAGAGTCATAGCTCTCTGGCAAAGGTTCCTGTAACAGGCTTGTCTCTCTGCTGATACGACTGCAAAAGGCAACGGGGAGCGAATTTGTTGAGTTGCCGTCTGAAATGCCAAAATAGCAACATACTATGTGGCTAAGCTTGCGTATACGGTTCAAAGTCTTCTACACTCATATACGCAACTCGTGTTGGCCAGGTACCTCTCTGAGATGATGATCCTCTCTGGAGCCTGGATCTTAGCGTAAAGGCGGCTTACCAAGATACAGTCGTGGCAGTTGGGAGGGCTGCCGGGAAGTCCCTCATGGCATTCCAACTCAACACTGTACTTTTGTCTGACATACAGAAAAATGAAAATATGTAGATGTTAAGTGTTTTACATTTTTTACATACACAGTCAGGAGTTTCAACCAGGAGAAGTCTTTCATTTTGTGATCAGCAACCTGCTGACGGTTCGCAGCTCTTAGCATCATCCTAGACCTACGCAATGAACAGCAAGGATAAATCATTGAATGCCATTGATTCCTCGGGCAGCATGGAATGATGGCACATATCAATTTTCGACATGGTTGGCTTTCTGGCTCTCGGTACATTCACCGAGGTAGCTGAGGAACGGAAACCACGGGTCATTTGGGCACCAGCAAGTTGGTCTGGCTGAACGTGCACCAAGGATGTGGTACGGGTGGTGCCTGGCGCCAGGACAATGACCAGGCGCCAAATCAGGCGGGGCCGGTTGCGGCAAAGAGTGCGCCAAGCAGCTGCATGAGAGGAGATGGCGGAGGTCTTTGTCTTGTTGTGCACTTGTTGCCGCATGTACAATGTGTATTACAATATATATATATATATATATAATATATATATATATATATAATATATATATATGTGTCCCTTTGTGGATGGTTTGGGTTGCAGTTTGCTGCTTTGGATTTGGTCCAGATGCAAATGAATAGGTTGTAGTTGTAGTGTTAGCGAATAGCATCTTTTATGGTTCGTGGATCTTCTGAGACGAATCATCCGCTCCACCGTTCCGACCTTCACAAAACTGCTGTGTGAATTTTAGGAGCGCGGGGATGCGCCGCCATGGGCCATGGCTAGCACTGCGGACACATACGCGGCCTACTTCCAGTGCAGGCTGCATTGTGTGAACACTGGCCCTCTCAAAGTGGGCTTTTGCAAGGGTTCTCGAAATTACTTTTGGGGGTGTGCTTGAAACTGCCATGTCGAAAATAATTTGAGGCTGTCACTCTGATAGACCGAGTAACACGCCCAAAACCTTGGGACTCAGCAAAATGCCGAATCGTTTTGCCAGTTTGCTCGCGTGGTATCCCTAATTCTTAATAAATGTAGCGCACACATCATCAACCTGTCCTAGCAGATAACACGCGGCCTAGTCAGCCTGAAGCGCACAGATGCAGCTTGCAGATGAAGAGACCGGTTCAGGTATCCTGAGATGTTGCTGTGCATTGGAGCCAAAACGAAAATTGAGTCGTAGACAGCAAGCACAGGGCGCTCTTGCAGAGCTCCCGGAAAAGCATATCCTCTTAACTGAGCCAGCATGCTGCGTTCCACTTGGATTGTACTATATGTATAATGAAAAGCTGCATGCTTTTATCTACAGCAGCCAAGTGTACTTGGCAAACTATACTTGTACTGAAAACATGTGATTCTGAAGATGGAGCTGTCGTAGTGTGCTGGCAAACTAAACTTGTACTGAACAGTTTCGATGTTTGAGCTGGAGGTGCTAAGGGGTCTTCAAATTCTACACTTAGACTGAGCAAAGTTCATTGGCAGTGAGTCGGTGTTGTTCTTGTGGGCAACAGTCTATGCAGCATCGCAGAGCGAGAAGAGGGAAAAAGGGTAGGTTTTCGGGAACACAAATCTCCACGTTTCGGGATTTTTAATCGCACCTGACTTGATTTCGGTCTCACAAAGGGCGATGTTGGACATAGTTCCGGCACCGTTCATCGCATGTCTGCGAATCAGGCAGATTACGGTGGGTCATGATGCGATTGAGCATGGGTTCGAATAGCAAGAGTAATTTAAGGCCGGGTTGAAGGCCCCTAAGGCACAAGGTGCTCGCCTTGGTTTGTTCAATGTTGGCTTTGCAGATATTCTATGCGCTCTCGCTATTCTATGCACCTGGTGTTCTCGCCTTCAGCTGCCAGCTTGGTTTGACTAGACAGGCCATTTGTTGCAAACATCTCGGCAAACCATGATGTCGATGGACATAATATCGGTGCCGTGGCGCCCTTAACAGTGCGTTGGAATGATTATTGTTTTGTACGGTCTTGAGAAACACTAGTTCTGATGTTTCAAGAGATGTGGTGCGATGCCACCAACTTGGACACTTGGTGGCCTACCGCGAAGCGGCAAATTGATACTGCCACGTGACGCATTGCTAAGCACACCTTTTGTGCCGGGCGTTGGCATACTTGTTCAATTCGCCTTTGTTTCCATTGGATTCCGATTTTGGGGACACTCGCTGATCTGAGGTCAGGTGCTTTCTTTGGCGTTGAAATCGGGTTTGGAGCCAGTTGGGATGTGCCGAACGTGACTTACACTCTTTGATTTTCCTGGGTGCATGGCCGGGCAAAGACAGTTGTGCTTGCACGTGCGAGCCATTCAAAGCGAATGATTTCGGCTTGTTTGGCGATCCATTGATGTATCCACCTGACTAGAAGTGTCGGATGGCCCTTTCTTTGGGAAGTTGGGACCCCCCCCTATCCCTCGCATTTGCTTCGTGAGGCTTACGGAGGTCACCAGCAGCAACGTGCCCAAGAGCTTCCCGAGGCTCACCTCCGCCCAGTCGAGCCTGGTGCGCCAGCCCAAGGATGCCCCCAAAGTCCGGCGCTTTTCGGAGGAGATCAAAGAAGAGCGCCTCAGCGCCATTGCGGGGACTAGGTTTGCCTGGGTTTTGTGAGGGGACCCTCGGGGTCGAGTCGAAGGAATTCGTTGGAGTGGTGGCTTTGGGATTCTACCGTGACGTCCTTCCTGTGCCTGCACGAGCGTTTTCTGTGATGACACAAGTTGAGGGCTATGATCGAGGCCAGATGATGTCTGTGATTCTGACAGCCGAAGACTTGGTGAATTGCTTGATGCTGGGCATTCCTCAATGTCCTCAATGCAGGCGATGTACTGTTCTGGCCTCATGCGTGTTGACAAGTTCGATGCGATAGCCGCATACGCTTGCCGATGCGTTCCTTGCTCTGGCACTTGTATGAAATCGTGTTTGCGCAGACAGCACCGCACGCCATGCTTAGTCGGCCGCTTCCTTTTTTTTGTATCTCACGCGTGCGGTGTTTATTCCCGAGGATTAGCAAGAAGAAGTTCCTGCACTCCTTCTCTACTGTCCAGGAGCAATCGGTGAACCACTGGCAGGGCAACGAGTCGAGCGGCTTGATGTTGTCCTCCAAGCTTAAGGCTGGTTAGCATGTTGCAGAAACATCATCACCCCCCATAGACGCAAACAGTTTTTGCCCGGCCTCAGAAATGCACTGCCTGTCCAGGGCCGCCTCTTCGGGCGACTGGACAAGGCGCGCGGCGAACTCAGTGGCCAGCTGCCGCCCGTCCACGGGCACATGCCCGGAGGGGTCTCCGTCGACTCTCGGCGACGCATGTCTTGTTGATGGGGTTCGGGGGAGCCCCTGTTTTGACTTAGAGTGAGCATGCAAAGGGTGCAACGGGTGCAGATGTGGCGATGTGTTGTTTTTCGGGACACCCAGCAAAATGATCAATGTGGTCTCAGTGATCCATCGAAACCAGCCAACGCAGAGAGGTTTTACCCTCCCTTTTAACTCATGCTTGCCATCCTGACGAATGTTGGACGCGAGTTTGTTTGTTTGCTTGCTGGTTTGCTTGCTTGTTTGGTTGTTTGTTTGTTTGATTGTTTGCTTGTTTGTTTGTTTGTGCGCTTATGTGGGTTTTGATGATTCCGCAGATAGCTGAAAGCTTTGGCGGTTCTAACTTCTAAACATGGCAGCTGGCTTCAGGGCTGGGACAGACATGACGCAACATGACGTAAATGTGCACACAATGTCTAAGGAGGCACAGCTCTCGGCAGAAAATGTTAGACTGACCGCTTTGTTTCTGGCTGAGAGGTTCTGTTGCCGAAATATGCTCCAACATCAACTAGTGATCAACCATACCCCTGCAATGCTCACTCTCCAGCACTTCGCTGTAGAGGAATTTTGAAGCAACACTCAGGAGGGCCCCATGCATTCTGGCGAGGCACAATCCCCACTCCCCCACCCCCCACTTGAATGGGCTTCTGAATGTTCCATGCTTCACCAGGGAGGAAGTGTTGCGTCCGTTGCTGGTGCGCATAAATGAGAAATGTCTTGACCAGAATGGTCCGTTCACGGCGTTGAGGGTCTCCAAAGGTTTGGGTTGCTGAGGAAGACAGCCGGGGCGGCGATACCTTCAAGGCGCAGCGTATGGTCCACATCTTGAAAGACTCTCGCTTCTTTCGAGATCTAGATGTGGCTGTGCTGGAGAGCCTGCCCCAGCACGCGCAGTTCCTACACGTGCCTTTGCTTTGCCCAGAGGTTCCCTGGTTTCTTGCCCTGCAGCGAATTTAGGCTTGTCAAGAGCAAACTGGCGGAGAACACTGATGAGTTTGGGCAGTGGAACCAGAGCAAGCGAGATGCACTATGATGGAACCGAGCCATGATAAGAGAGGTAGTTTGAATATGTTTGAGTCAAGAGAGGTTTGCCTTGACCTTACGCACCCCATCTCAAGCACTCCATGTATGCAATATTTAACTACATTTAACCTCCAAATGGTTCCAATGTTGTTTCGTAAAGGTCGCGTTGATCACACTCGTCCTGCGCCAAGGTGCCCAACGCTAGCGTTCTCTTCCGGCAGGGAGACCCTCCCAAGGGATGTTATGTGGTTGTCAGCGGCAAGGCCAGACGAAGCCACAACTGGGAAGGACACATGGGGGTATGTTTTTGAGGATACCATGTTTGAGGTTGGTTAGAATGGAAACTAGAAGAAAGGGCCTCACCAGTTATTTTTCGGTGCCAGTCAATCATTTGATCAAGACGAACCTGCACGTGTGGTTTAGTTTTGGTGGTGTGCGATCAGAGTGTGTGGAGAATTTGGAGATCAAATCGTTGCTATTTGAAACCGCTTCTAGAGAACTCACATGGCCATGAATTTTAATAGGGAACCACCTTAAAAGTGATTGGTGGACATGAATCCCCACCTAAATGATGTCCACCAAAGGGTCCCTTATTAAAATTCATAGCCACATTGCTCCCGGTTGGTACTGGGTATTGTATGCGCAATGTGGGGCACGCGGTGTCAGGTGGGCTTCTACGTCGGCGGCAACCAATTAACTCCCCGCCAGCCGCCAACGGAGAAGGAGGAGATGAAAGACATCCCGGAGGCTGCATGGAGGGTCTTCTCCTTCGAAGGCGCGGGCTGAGAACAACCAATTTTACCTGCAGCCAACCTTTAAAGAAGCCTAGGGGTTGACCTTTTCTGTTCAAGGGGTCTGATAGAAATAGCTATGCCTGGTCAGAAAGGACAACAAGAGTGCCAATTCTGGGCTTTGGGTGCTTCAAATTCGACAAGTTTCAGGGTTTTGCTTCTTGCAGATTTCGGGTTTGTATCAAAGGGATGGCTAGTTCTGCGCCTTGAACACTCCGAGGCTTCAGCACCTTCTCCAAAGTCTCAGACTTCGGGAACTGCGTGAAGAAGAGCGGCGCCGGGGAGGTCT